TCTTAAAGGACCGACCTTTCCCCTGCTTTATGATATTCTAACTTGGCTACTTTTTTCTTATATTAATTTCGTTTTGAAAGCAGAATATGTGTTTCAAAGGAGAGAATATGTGTTTTGTTAAAGATTTAAATTAGTATCTCCCTCTGTCTGTTCATTTTAGTCATAGGCTAGTGTAGTTTTTCTTAGTAAGTACTTTTAGTTGGTAGTACTGAGCCCGCTTTGTCTGTTTGTCGTTTGGGCGCTGCGTGACGCTTCCGTCTTCTGTATGTTACATATATATAAGTGCACACGCGCTGTACACGAGGTGTCATTAATAAACAGTTCTTTTTGTTAGCGTTTCTTACAAATGTGTTTTCACTTAAATAAAGCCCTGCTAAATATCAACCAACTTAACAGGTTATGGGCCCAGAACATTGCTAGCGCAAGAAGTAACGAAAATTCATTCGGGCACTTGGTTGATATAAGAGACGCGATAATTTTCCGAACGTTAATGGCGTCGCGCAGTAATATCTGAACGTGTCGATATCCAGTTGTTATAATCCTTTGTGGAACGGACGACGGACATCACATAGTGAAAGCTGATTGTGAATAGAGACGTTCAGTTGTCATAAATCCTTTGTGGAACGGACGACGGACATCGCATAGTGAAAGCTGATCGTGAATAGAGACGTCCAGTTGTCATAAATCCTTTGTGGGACAAGTAGTGGACGACGGATAGAAGTCAGTTTTAAAGAGTGAAAACTAGAAGAAAACGCATTAAAACGGAAGGCACCTTTACACAGGCACCCAAGTTCGCCGGTCAAAATTACAGACAGTGGCGTTTTCAAGTCATGTGTGCAATAAGTGCCAAAGGACTCTCAGATGTACTAGAAGGATCCACGACAGAAGGTGAGGCGGCAACACCGACTGAAAAATGGCGGCAACGTGATGCACTCGCAATGTATATTATAACCTCGGCGATGGAGTTCAGTCAGCACTCATTGAAGGCTGTGAAAGAGAGAGTCAACGATACAAATAATAAATAAATTAGATTCAATTTATGATAAAAAGAGTGACATGTCGAAAATGATGCTCCATGAACAGTTTGCCTCTTACAAAATAGCAGTCAATGACTCTATGTCAATGCATATTGCAAAAGTGGAAAATATTGCACGGCAACTAAAAGACTGTGGAGAAACGGTAAGTGAGATAGCTGTAATAACTAAAATAATTGGAAGCTTACCAGAAAAATACAGATCATTTAGACAGGCATGGCTATCTGTTGATGAATCGAGGCAAACAGTGGCAAACCTAACAACTCGACTACTGGATGAAGAGGTAAATACGTTGGTGTCCAATGAAGAAGGAACGGCTTTAACCACTTCAAAAGAAAATCACATGAAGAAAAAGAAGATTTTCAAGTGTTACAATTGCAATAAGAGAGGCCACTTTTCAAAAGATTGCAGAGCTCCGAAGAAAAACAAAGGTAAGGAAAAGGACAAAGATACAGAGAACAAAGGCACAGCATTTACCTGTATGATGCCAGATGACTCAAATGACGTATGAATACTCGACAGCGGTGCATCAGCACACATGTGCTACAAAAGAGTTTTTCACAGAACTAAATGAATGTAACAAATTTAATGTTATTCTAGGCAACAATAAAGAACTCTCAGTCGTTGGAAAAGGAACCGTTCTTGTCAATACTCTAGTAAACGACCAATGGATTGACTAAAAAATGACTGATGTCTGGTATGTGCCTAAACTAAAGAAAAATTTATTTGCAGATGGAATTCTAACCAAGAAGAACATGAAAATCGTCAAAGAAGGTGATAATGCGAGAATTTACAAAAATGGACAGCTAGTTTTATGTGCAGTACGTACTGAAAATAACTTATACAAAGTACTGTAGTACTTATACAAAGTAACTTAAAAACTCTCCAAAGTGAAGTAAATCTGGTAACAACGGACATGAAGAAATGGCATGAACGCTTAGGACATACAAAAACGCTTCATGAAATAGTTAACAAGAACTTAATTGAAGGTGTAAAAATAGACCGCTCCGATGAGTTCTTCTGTGAAGCGTGCATGTATGGAAAACAATACAGGAACCCATTCATTACTTCAGTATCAGGAAATCTTGAAAATGGAGACACAATATATAGTGACCTGTGTGGTCCAATAGAAGTTCAATCGATTGCTGGTGCCAGATACTTTATAACATTTACAAACGGATATTCAAATTTTCGCGTTGTAAAGTTCTTGAAAAATAAAAGTAATGCATTAAGTGTATTCAAGGACTATGTCAATATGGTGGAAAAGCATTTCAACATAAAAGTCAAGAAGTTACACACCGACAATGGATTTGAATACTGTAATGAAGATTTTTGAAACTATGCTGCCAGCCATGGTATTCAACTGGAAACCACAGCTTCATACACACCTCAACAAAATAGGAGGAGTGAAAGGTCCAACCGTACAATAATGGAAAGTGCCAGGTCGATGTTATATGCAAAGCAACTATCAAGATTCCTGTGGGCGGAAGCCATTAACACGGCTGTGTACATACTAAACCGCACTTCACATAAAGGTCATATCACTCCGTATGAGAAGTGGACAAAGAAGAAACCAACTCTCACACACACAAGAATCTTTGATTCAATATCTTATATGCATATTCCCAAAGAAAGAAGAACGAAGTTAGATCCAAAAAGCAAGAAGATGATCTTCGTAGACTATGAAGGCAATTCAGAAAACTATAGACTATTTGATGTTAAAACAAGAAAAATCAGTTTCAAGAGATGTAATTTTCAAGGAAGATGAAACGGGCGTGCCAGAAGAAGAAACAGGACATTACAGGATCAACATTGAAGCTGAAAGTAGTAACAATGAAATTGAAACTGAGGAAGAATCGGAAAGCCATATTGAACAAAATACTCCGAACGAAGACACGCATAACGTCAAGAATCAAGAAAAGGGCAGTCAGACTTCAAGTAGAATATTATCTGGATTAAGACCCAGAAACACACTAAAACCTCCTGAGAGATTCGAAGTTAATCTGGGGAACTCAAAGCACCAGAAACATATGAAGAGACAGTGACGTGTGAAGAAGCCAATAAATGGAACGAATCTATCAAAGAGGAACTAAAAACTCATGAAGTAAACAAAACGTGGGAGCTGATACCTTGTCCGAAAAAAGAAAATATAGTTGGCTCAAAGTGGGTCTTCAGAGTCAAAGAAGATGGAGATAAAATACGTTTCAAGTCAAGGCTTTGTGCCAAAGATTATTCACAAACTGAAGATGTAGACTACAATGAAACGTTCGCACCTACAGTACGATATGACTCAATTCGAATCTTGCTCTCAGTTGCAGTTGACAGGAACTTCGTAATGGCTCAATCCATAAGGAAAAAAGGCATGAAACGCTCGAAGTTGGCCGTATGTCGCGATCTCATTGTTGATGCTTTATTCCTTCTATCATTGATCCTCAGTACATCGCAAATTGCACCGATGAGACGCATTTCGTGACGTTCAATGAAATTTAAATTTATACCGCTAAAAGTATAAATAACGCTTTTTTCAATGACCGTTTTAATGATCACACGTGTAGTAGGATATTATATTGACTGTAGAATCACTTTAAAGGATGATGGTGAATGATAATGAATGAACAATCGTCGTTTCACAGAAGATGGATCATCGCGCGTGTGAAAGATTAGTGCGGGATATTAATTATAGCGCCGAGTTATTTTACAATAATAAAGTAGAAAAATAATAAATAGCGATAAGGAATTGAAACTAAAGGAAAATAGGTGTGACAAGATATTTTAATTTCAGTTATTCATTTTTCATGAAAAGGAAAGATACGTTTTTTATAAAAAGAAAAGGATTGAACAGAAAGGAAAAGGTAAGAAAATAGGAAAGTTAATATATAGAGAACGTTTTTAAAAAGCTGTATAAAATGTCTTTATTACGTTATAAATATTTAAGAGACTAGAGAGATACGAAATCAGATATTGGTGAGAGAGGAGAGACGAGAGATCAAAAATGAGAAAGAAGCGAGAAAGGCAAAGAAAAAACGAGACACAGGTGAGAGAAGCAATTTAACTATAGAATTTAATCTTAAAATTATATCGTTGTTGTTAAAAATTAATAATTCGATACATTTTATGTTTTATATCTGTAAATTTCTATAAATAAAATGTATTGTAAACAATTTATTTTTTAGTAATGACGAAATAGGGATGAGAGTGACTAGACAAGAAATTGGTAGGAAGAAAGAGATTTAAGGCAAGTGATGAGACGCGATAGATGCAAGAGCCGAGAGATGAAAGAAGGAAGAAACTGGATAGAGCTGAAAGATGAAAGAGGAGATTTGAGAGATACGTTTTAATTACGTTATATTTGTGTTATATTTTATTTTCAGTTATAGTTGATAACATCGTTAACGTTAGAGTAACAATGTTTTTCGTGTTGGAGAGCATGCAGCACGTTGCCTAACAAGATGAAAGAATGAAAGAATGGAAAAAGGAAAAAAAATAGGAGGAGAGATGTAGGAAAGAAAAAAGAAAGAAAAGAAAGGGAATAAAATAAAGAATAAAGGAGAAAAAGAAGAAAAAATACCAAGTAATATGATACAATAATATACAAAGAATGTTCCTAAAAAAAACTATAAAACATTTTTATTATATTATTATTGACACTTGATACTTTTCCATTATAAAGTATTAATGCATTGCATTATATTTTATTTGCAGTTATAGTTGTTAATATCGTTAACGTTACAGTATCAATGTCTTTCGTGTTGGAGAGCATGCAACACGTTGCCTAAAAAGAAGAAAGAATGAAATAATGGAGAAAGGAAAAAAATAGAAAAAGGGATGTAGGAAAGGAAGAAGAAAAAAAGAAAGAGACGAGAGATGAAGAATCAGAAACAAGCAAGAAAGAAAAAACAAGATACAGGTAAGAGAAGAAATTTAACTATAGAATTTAATCTTAAAATGATATCGTTGTTATTAAAAATTAATAATTTGAGACACTTCATGTTTTATTTCTGTACATTTCTGTAAATAAAATGTATTGTAAACTATTTATTTTTTAGTAATGATGATGAAATAGGGATGAGAGTGGCGAGACAAAAAATTGGTAGGAAGAAAGAGATTTAAGGCGAATGATGAGACGCAATAAATGCAAGAGCCGAAAGATGAGAGAAGGAAGAAGCTGGATAGAGCTGAAAGACGAAAGAGGAGATTCGAGAGATGGGAAACGAGACAGACGTATATAATTCAAGATACAGGTGAGAGGAGAAACTTTAACTTCGAAATTTAGTCATGAAATTAAATAGTTGATGTCAAATGAATAATTTGAGGCATTTTATGTTTTCTTTCTGTACATTTTGATGTAAAATGTATTGTAAACTATTCATTTTTTAGTAATGACGTAAAAGGGTTGATACAGGCGAGTCAAGATATTGGAAGTAAGAAAGAGACGTCAGACGAGTGGTGAGACAAGATAGAGGCGAGAGATGAGAGAGGAAAGAATTGAGATAGATGCGAAAGACAAGAGAGGAAAGATAAGAGACTAGAAAGTGATATTGGTGAGAAAGCAGTGATGAGCGATGAGAAAACGAGAAAGAGGCAAGACAGACAGGAACAAAACGAGTTATAGGTGAGAGAAAAAGTTCTAATTAAAAAATTTAATTTATAATTCAATTGTTATCAGAGAATTAATAATTTGAGACATTTTGTAAATCGTTTATGTATTTCTGCATTTTATATAAATAAATAAATGTCTTGCCAACTATTTATACTCATTTATACTCTTGAATTAAATTTGTTAAAAGCTCAAGTATGGAAATTAGTATAAAAAGTCGTTACAAGGGAGAATCCCTGTATTATCGAAAATTAAGAATAAATCGAAGAAGAATGACAAAGAAACTTGATTTTGACCACACTTTTTAAATCCAGTTTGGTCTCCTGGTCTCTATACTCCATGGTATATAATAAGGGAAGATTTATGCAAAGAAAGTGATATGATAACTACGGTGAATAAACGCTACAAAATATATATATATTTATTTATACTTTCAACTCAAACAAAGAACATAACGTAATTAATATAATTAGAATTAATAGATTTATCTGTAAAAAATATATTTAGGGTAATAAGTAGAAGTCAAATTTACATTTAAAATGTAGTAACTTTACGACTTGGAAACTTGAAAATTTTTTTATTGCGCTTTAGCCCGGATTCTCATACAGACAACAGCGCTTTGACATCGAGCGCTGATTGGTGAAAAACGGATGAAGGGGATAAATTTTACAATTTTCACAAATTTTGCAAGCATATCTAACATAACGATTCTGTGATTGGCGATCCGCTAATCCGCTTACGCGCGAACCGCTCCATGTGACTCCAGCTTAACATTTCAGTAGACGGCATCATAATAGCCGCAGCACAGACTCTTGCATAACGCATAATGCATAGTGCATAAGGGAATCAACCAATCGAAATTCTTCTTTTCCATTGTATGGAAGAAAAGGGAAGATTCTGATTAGTTGATTCACTTATGCAATATGCGTTATGCGTTATGTAAAAGTCTGTGCTGCGGCCTTAACGATCAAAATAAATAACAATCTATATCATTAATAACCAGTGATCCCAGATGGACTCGCTTTTTGGCGTATGCGCCGCACTGAGCTAGGGAATCCAGTAACATTCCAGTAATGCATGTACCGATGCATGTATAGTCAGACAATAAAAGGTTGCAACACTTTTTAATTCGATGGTTTTCGGAACGCGCAAAAATTCTGACAAAGCAGACACTATCTCTGAACGCCTATAGTCAGCGGTTATGATAGGTACGATAACTGTCAAAGTGATGCAGAATCGTCTTGTACACGGTGAAATAAAAAAATGTATTTGTGCGCAGCGGAACATTTGTAAGATACCCTTCGAATACCATAAAATATATCGTGGTAAGTAATAATAAAGTAAACGCTAACTTTGTTTTATAAATTTATTTATGTTTTCAAAAATAACATGTTTATTATTATTAAAATTCAAAAATTAAATGTAATAATATAACATAATATTATTCTAGCGAGCCTGTGATATCAAAGCAAGTGGAAGAACACTTTACTATAAAATAATATAAAAATAAAATAATAAAAATATAATAATATAATAAATTACATTATAATAA